GACCGAGATGCTCTTCGGTTCCATTGGTTAGAAGCTAAAGATCCACAGCGAATTCGGACTTACAGATTCACTAGAGCACTCTTTGGCTTGGGACCCTAGCCTTTCCTGCTAGGAGGTGTGATCCAACAGCATCTGAACACTTGCCGAGATGAACATCCCAAGTGCGTGGAAGAGATTGAGCGTGAGCTATATGTGGATGACATATTATCTGGTGGACCTACTACCGAAGAAGTGAAACAGAAGAAAGCCACAACAACTGAGATATTTGCCCAAGCTACTTTCCATTTGCACAAGTGGCACTCGAATGTGAAAGAGCTGGAACTGGATGACGTACCCGAAGACAATGCGAAAGAACTGGAGCCGGTTACAGTGAATGAGCACGAAGACGACTTAAGCTACGCGAAGCAACAGCTGGGCGTTCAATCTAGACAGTGTGGACTCCTGGGATTGAAGTGGAACAAGTTATCTGACGAAATTGGGGTCCCTTTTCCCGCGAACGTTGCTCAACCGACGAAAAGAGGGATCCTGGGAAAGGTGGCTAAGATCTATGACCCCTTAGGATTAGCCGCACCTACCACTCTACAAGGAAAGCTGCTATATCGTGAGGCTTGTGAAGAGAAATGCGCATGGGACGCGCCGCTATCTGCAGAGCTAGTTCAGCAGTGGAAGAAGTGGGAGAGTTGTTTACCTCAGCAAATTAACTGCCCAAGAGCACTGACGAGTGCTCAACAGCCTATCGAGAACATCGAGCTTCATGCCTTTGGAGACGCTAGCGGAAAGGGCGTCGCGGCTGCCGTGTACGCCGTCGTCAAACAGCCGACTTCAGTAAACCAGGGCCTCGTCACAGCAAAGGCAAGACTGGCGAAGCAAGGGTTGACAATACCTCGCCGCGAACTAGTCTCGGGTCACATGGCCGTGAATCTTCTAAGCAACGTACAAGATGCGCTACAAGGGTTTCCTGTATCCTCCCTACACTGTTGGCTCGATAGCAGCGTCGCACTACACTGGATACGCGGGAATGGAGACTTCAAGCAATTCGTGGCAAATCGTGTCCGAAAGATTAGAGAGCATGGTGACATTACGTGGAGACACGTACCAACTAAGGATAATCCTGCCGACCTTGCTAGCCGCGGTGGACCAGTCACAGAAGAGAAACAACTATGGTGGAAGGGACCAGCATGGCTCAGTGATCCTAGAGCATGGCCCCTAGACCTTGTTACCGTACCCACAGCAGAATCCAACGCAGAAGCCAAAGTGATAAAGGAAGTCTTAGCCACAGCCCTATCATCAGAAGACGAGTTCAGTGTGCGCATGGGTGTCCAGGTTCCTAACTAATTCCAGAAACCCGAAGCCAAGAAGAGTGAAAGGACCGCCGACCACCGATGAAATGAAGTACCAGGAAACCTGGTGGACCAGACGAGCTCAAGAGGAAGGCAGAAGTTCGAAGAATTTCGAGGCAGACAAGTTACAGCTTAACTTGCAACCAGACGAGAACGGAATAATGGAGTGTAGAGGACGAATCGTCGGTGCATACCCTATCTACCTTCCTGATGGTGACGCATTCACACACAAGCTTGTTCAACGAGCGCATCTAGCGACCCTTCATGGGGGAGTTACACTCCCAATGACCAAAGTTCGGGAGACTCACTGGATCCCTCGCCTGAGAAAACTTACCAAGAAGGTCATTAAAAGCTGTTGGGGTTGCAAGAGATTTCGAGCTCAAGCCTACCAGTCCCCACCGCCAGGCAATCTACCAACGACCAGAACCCAAGGAGTGACACCCTACGAAACCATCGGTGTTGACTTTGCTGGGCCCATAAAATATCAGGTGACAAAGAAGATGGAAGGTAAAGCCTACCTAGCCTTGTACGTCTGCGGTCTTACCAGAGAGGTGTGCCTCGATCTACTTCCGAGCTTAGAAACAAGCAAGTTCCTCGCAAGTCTGAAAGGGTTTATAGCCAGACGTGGACGCCCTCGCGTAATCTACTCAGATAACGGAAGCACGTTTAAAGCAGCAGCGGATTGGCTGAGGAAAGCCATGAAAGATGAGGAGTTTCACACCTGCCTTTCAAAGCTGGACATAGCCTGGAGATTCAACCTTAGCCGAGCTCCCTGGTGGGGTGGCCAGTTTGAGAGGCTGATAGGCGTGTTCAAGTCTGCCTTCCGGAAAGCAGTGGGGAACGGAACCTTATCCTGGGGCGAATTATCGGACGTTGTGCTTAACGTTGAAATTGCCATGAACGGACGTCCCCTGAGTTATTTGGAAGAGGACGTCGAATTGCCAGCACTCACTCCAAGCTCCATGCTGCACCTTCGGCCGAGCCAACTCCCAGAGCTAAATGCCTACCACATTGAGGAACCAGATCTAAGGAAAAGAGCCAAGTATCTCTATCGGTGCAAAGAAGCGATGTGGTCCAGGTGGACAAGAGAATACGTGAGAAGCCTACGTGAGCGGCACAGCAGGAGCGGAGTGAAACAGACCTCCCACCCCTCAGTGGGGGAAGTGGTGATAATTCAGGACGAGTCTCGGAACCGTAACTCATGGAAGCTAGGGATCGTGGAAAGGCTGATCGTGGGACGTGACGGAATCGTACGTGGAGCTAAGTTACGAGCTGGGAAAGGAGTCTTGGAACGAGCAGTGCAGCACCTGTACCCTCTCGAGCTGTCCTGCGACAGAACAGATGCAAGGTTGAATCCTGAGGCCGAACCCTATCGGCCAAGGCGGGATGCGGCAGTCGCAGCAAGACTCCGTATTGCAGATGCTGCTCAGGAAGCAGAGCCGTGAGAACTGTGAAACCAGAACTTCCTCAGGACGAGCAATCAAAAGAAAAAAAAAAACTTTCAGAACATTAAGGACGTATCCATTAACCTTTTTGTTATGATTTCAAGTGATTAAGCCTAGTGACATTCAAAGAACGCTGAACTGTGATTCAACGTGAACACTGTGGACAATGGAATCATTGAACTATGTGATTTGTTCTTTAAGACTTTTCTTCGTTTTCAAATTGTTTAGCGTACTTAGGTTGAAGCAGTCTCCTTCGTTTACATGTACTTCCTTGTCGAAAGCACATGGGGGAGTGTGTCGGAAACTCGATAATAGCATAGGGCTTTTAATGTTTATTTTGTCACGAACTGCCAGTCTTTGAAGGCGTTTATTTTTATCTGAATGGCAAAGATCACGTTATTCCACGTGTTATTGTGAAATAGAGTACGTTTGTTATTTTTCTGTCAGCAATATCTTTTTAGCCAATCAGCTCATGTTTATTCAAGGTGTGCTATAGATTAGGGTTCGCTCGATTGATGCCAGTGAGAGGTGGATTATTTTTGTAGGAGAAAAGAAAAAACTGTGATTAAAAAAAACCTGAAAGTGAAGACTGAGGACGTTGTGGGCCTTCTTAACCTATTCCCCACACCAAATCCATTTCTGAAAAAACAGCGAGGAAAAGCGATGATTTCATCAAAATCTTTTTTTTTTTTGGACGACGAAACAAGTTTTCGCCATTCATTTTTCTCTGGCGACCTGCAATGTTTGCAATGGTCCGATCACTGGCAACTCATTTATTCTGCGTTGTGGTCATGACGGAAATATATGATTGACTATCAGCCGGAAATCCGTCGACAGGCGGTCATGCGTGGCAACGCTTGTCAACGTTTCAGATGGTTGATGACCCGCAGGAATATTTATAACACTTTCCGAAATCATGACAAACTGAAGACAAATTACAAGCACAAACACGGCAGAAGTCGTTCCGCGATTATTCCCTTATCGGCCTGCCCTTCCTGATTATCTTCTTAGGAGCTTAGTTCGTGAAAGTCATCCTTACTAAAACAGTTTACAAATTTCCAGTTTATTGCTTAAATTTTTAGTGTTTTAATTTCTGATATCACCCGTATTTGCGATAGCATGAAGAATATCAGGTAATTACGGTAAGGAATATTATCGCTTACGCTTAATTGGAATAGGTGGTCATACATGACATGATTACCCGTGACCTTGAATTTCCTTGACATGATTATTGTAGATGACGTTCCAGGCGCTGATCTCGAACATTTACAGTACGCTTTCAGCCAATCAGAAAAACGATACTGAGTTGAATGTACAATAATAATTGTTATCATGTGAGGCAAACCTTTATGTCACAATCGACCTTTGATTGATATAACTGAAATTTTGCACGGGAGGTTGACCGAGCTTTGAAGGGTTGTTAAGGACAGGGCAAGATCACAACACTTTACAGCGTGAAAAGAAATACACCCCTCATGACTTGCAATCTGATTGTGAAATTCTCATGAATTTAAGAGTATGTGAGAAGCGTTATGGCAGTCTGCCATCCAGGGGACATAATCATGCAAAGGGGAAAAGTTCCTCAAGATCATGCAGTGATGGCCAGTAAGGTTTTCAGAGGACAACCTCTTGCATTGTGACATCCTCACAATGTAACATTGAGGATTGCCCCACTACAAAAGTTCCCTTCAAAAAAAAAAAAAATAAATATTCTTCAAATTTCTATATTGTCCTGACCTACAATAAAACTCATGGAGATTCTTTACATCTTTAGCACTAGTCTCTGGGTCATCAGGGTTAAACCACAGAATTCAAACAAAAGCTTCATGTACTCTGTAACTGAGTCAGATCTTCTTTTTCCACATTCCAAACGATCGGAGAAGAAATTATTTGGTGAAAACGAACATTCTGAAATGTTATTTCGGCAACATATTGACGCGAAGGTTTGAAAGCGACGAAGGCTAAAATTTTCACCGTAACGTAACTTTTTTTCCCTTTATCAAAACAGCATTGAATTTTAAATTGAAGCTAGTATAAAATGGTTACTGATAAAAAGGTTTTCAATTTTTCCGGGTCTTAGTGTGAGAGAAAACCCAGATTTCTCTCTTCGTCGAAACGAGTAATGATAACGTGTGATACTTAACATTTAATGCAAAATGCAATCATTCCTGTTACTTTCCCATTAGATTAACAACCCTATCATGTCTTTTTGTAGGCCTCCACAATTATTTTAGAAGCAAGAGCTGAAAACGCACGGAAACGGGAAGAGCTTCTGAGTCTTTTTTCCGGAGCCAATGAACTTCTGAGTCACTTGAATGCGACGGAGAAAGAGTCACGCCCTTCAACACCAGATAAGGGGATCATTCGAGGGACGATGGAACATCATATCTCCCAACTTGAACAGGAAAATTTCCGTATTCTTGTTGCAGGTAAATCATAAATTTGTTCTCGGTGAGTGATTATAATGATGTCTATACTTAAGCTAAATTTTAAATGATCATCCATCAATTTTTTCCCTTGTTAAGGAGACACAGGCTCTGGAAAAAGTAGCCTTATAAATCTGATTCTTGGAGAGGAGATTCTTCCGTCTGAGTTTCTTCCAGAAAACTCAATCATTTGTGAATTGAAATACGGAAAGGAACGTAAGATTGTGTTGCACTATAAAGAAGTCGACTCTAGGAAACAAAGAAGAAGACAGAGCGTCAGTGGTGAGGAACTACAGGAGTTAAGGAAATATGTTGGGGGTGCAAATGAGAGAAAAGGCTCAATTTATGAAAAGATTGAAATTTACTGGCCGCACAAACTTTTTGAGGTAAGATTATAAAACTTGAAAATCATCTTAAGCAAGACTGCAAACTTGGTTAGAACATTAAGGGAAGCATATCGAAAAGTCACGCAATACTAGGAACCACATTTTTTATCAATCTGAATAACTCCTCACACTTGAAGCCAAAAACAATTGCCATCTATCGTAGTTATTATAATTATAATTCTGATACGAGCTCAAAATAATTCTAGTAACTTAAGCTAACTTAATCAATTTATGACATGAATGAAAGTGATCTTCGCAGTGATGTACACTACTTAGGCAGTAGTGAAAATAAGGCCTGAAAAAAAAAATTCAGGCCTGTACGGGATTTGAACCCATGACCTCTGCGATACCGGTGCAGCGCTCTACCAACTGAGCTAACAAGTCAACTGGGAGCTGGTCATGATGGTGGTTCTAAATAAACCCGTGAAGTGATGAACCACCATGAAGTGATGAACCACCATCATGACCAGCTCCCAGTTGACTTGTTAGCTCAGTTGGTAGAGTGCTGCACCGGTATCGCAGAGGTCATGGGTTCAAATCCCGTACAGGCCTGAATTTTTTTTTTTCAGGCCTTATTTTCACTTCTGCCTAAGTAGTGTACATCATTGCGAAGATCACTTTCATTCATGTCTTTATCCGCAGTTCAAATATATGACCTTCATATATTCTTAACCGTTTAATCAATTTACTTCCAATGATTCTACAGGCTCCTCTAGCTCAGTGCGATTGATAGTTACGCGTACTTTATTATACAACATCAACAACTCTTAAAACAGCTCTTAGGAAACTCGGTGATCAATTCAAAAGTTTTCAAAATAAAAGTCGCACCTTTTTTAATGACGAGTTTGTAATGTAGTTTGCAATCACTCCCCAATCTGACGCTATTTCTGCGATCTTTCCAAATCTTTTATATGGTTTCCTCTAGAAACTGGAACAAAAATTGAAGCATGCATGTTCGATGGAGCGTAGTGCGATGCAAGATACTGCCGACCCTCCAACTGAGCTTATGTATCTGTGTGGCGCCGTAAGAAACGCGTTAACTTTCACAAACCTACAATTTTTGTTTATCTCAGAAAGGGATCACCATTGTTGACAGTCCTGGTATTGGTGAAGAGGAAAGCATGGATGAAATGGTTACCCAGTATCTCACTCAAGCCTTTGCATTTGTTTATGTCATTGACACTTCAAACAGTGGAGGAGTTAACAAATACAGGGTAGGTATTGAAATAACACTGAGCTTCTTAAAATTATTATTTTTTTAACAACTTTCATTGTAATTACCGGCTACAATTTTCTTTACTTCAAAGACACAAGAGTTACTGGCAAACGGACATAAGCTAGACTAGTTCCTGGTGAAATTGTTCTTAATCTTTCTTTTGTTATCCGTTAATTTACTACTGGACGGTGCCTGTTATTGCTACTTTGCAGACGGACTGCACATCACGCCATGGCCACGGGTACTCAAAAGAGATGAAAAACCCGGCTCCCGGAATGATTACGCAAGAAAATATCAACCAATACTCGCTATATTTGTGCAAATTCATCTCCTGGCAAAAAGGTTTACCAGGATTTTATATGGGTCAGATTGGTTCATTCGTATTGCCTTCGGTTCAGAACCGAGAAAGGAAAACAACGAGGACCATTTTTCCCCATACAAAACAAACAAACAAACGATGGAAAATGAGAGAGAGAGAGGAATATTCGCCCATTGACTCCTAAATGTTTTTTGCGCCTATGCGTGAAGTTAAAAAAAGTAGAAAAACGTGAAAACAAAGCACACTCAAAGCGCAGAAAACTTTTAAAAATCGTCTTTTCCCATAGCTCTAAGGTATATGAAAGTAAGTCGCGCTGCACGGGTGTCAGCGTGTGGTGATCTCTTTTTTCGGTAACATCAACCAGAAAAGAACAATCTATAAAGTACAAGATTGATTTTTTCATTCCGTGCAAAAACTGTATGGCCAGTATTGTTGGTTGTGCAAGTGTGAGTGATCAGGGTAAAAATGTCCTTACCACTTACATTACGCTGTTCTAAAGACTATATTTGCCTTTTTTTGTTGTTGTTTTTTTTTTAATTAATTATTTTTTTTATATACTAGTGATTTTGTTCAAGCATAAAAAATTAATATCATTCAAATTCAAATGGGTCTTAATGTGATTGTTGTTGATCACATTCTCCTTAATTACAGATTGAAAAGTTGCTGCAAGACACAATGGAGAAAGTTTTTGAAAAAGGTAGTGAGGTAAGGAAAGGAGAAGGAGTCTTAGGTAATAGGAAGTTTTCTTTCTGTTCAGGCAGGTAGTAATATCCTCTCACAGAATTGTTTTCATTCCTATCAGATCTTTACCTCCGGTCACTTAAAATCGCTTTCAACGTGACAGACAAATTGTATGTTGTAATATAGATGTAGAAGTGACTTTCAGGAACGTAGAAGAAGACCAGTGCTGTAGATCTCTAGGGAGATTTTCTCCACTTAAAAGCAGAAGATTCACACTTTTTGTCAAGTTAACTTTGTAACAAGCGGAAAGTTGAGAGAACGCCGGAAAAGTTTGGAAATCAAGGGCCGAAAGTCAAATGTCTTCAAAAAATAGGTACAAACTCACTGATAAATGAAAGGATAGGTTTTTGGCCAATAGGAGGACGAGTTACTTGTAATTACTAAAAGAACTTGCACGTTTAAGAAAGCTCGAGTCGATTGACTGAAATTATCATTGTTAAAAGTTTCATCATTACGAGACATTGCTTTTTATTAATATAACATAGAATACGCCCTTGGAGCATGTATTCCAATCCAACTGTGCTCTGTTTCTGTGCAACAAGTGGGATCTTGTTCGAAGCAGTGAAAAAGCTAATCCCGATAAAGTAAAGGAAGACGTAATCATGAAGCTGAAGAAATGTTGGCCAGGTCTTGTTACAGAGGATCAAGTCTTCTTTATGTCAGTTGAGGAGGCTAAACTGGCGGCGGAATATGGAAGAGTTAGTGCCGACTTTGGGAACTTCATCAATGGTACAAGATCTATGATCTTGAACAGCTGCAAGACCAGACTGGAAATTCACTGGAGGTAACCGTTTGATTTTAGTTCTATTATTGATTAAGATAATTTTTTATGATTTAATTTAACGATAATAACCTTTCAATAACCGACGGCGAGGTCGTAACGGGAAAAACCTTAACATAAGGCCTCTTATAACTGGGTTAAAACGAGATCAGTACTCTCGGGTCAAAGTTTGAAATTTTATGTAACGCTCGAAGGGTCGAGGTTATTAAGTTTAAAGTTTACGATTTGGGTAACAAACACCTCTGAAAAAAAGAAAATAAAAATAAAAAATCTAAATTTAATTGTTATTCCCAATTCAAGCGAAACTAGTCGTTCTACATCTGGCGATACGCGCGCTCACTTATTCATTCATCTATTCAGCTCTAGGGCTACTATGCGCAAGTGACCTCTCGCGTATTCCTAAGAAATAGAGATTAATACATGCATTTGGGCGCGTAGATAAGGAATCACTCTTCAAGTGTTCCACTCAATAGCTCACGAGTGAGATGTCTTGTTGAACACGAGAAGAGAAATTTCATATCTACATATTTTGTTTATCATGTAAACACAATAGCCCTTTATTGACAAGAAGAGTCGACTTCATTAATGAATGAAATAGAAGGATTGACAATCTCCGGATAAAAAGCGTAAAGTACGTTGGCGCACTCAAGATAAAAAATATGCATTGAATCACTACAAAAACAATGGGCTAATTTTCAAAGTACAAAATTTTCAGTTACTGAATTAGTCTTTACCGACAGAAGAAATCTTTCAAGTACACGGCCAAAATCGGTCTGTAGCAAATCCTCCAAGTGTCGATTTTCGTTCTCGGCCACGAGAAATGCCATTACCAAAGCCACTGAATACCTAACTTTCGTTTTTTCTTTTCGTATTTTGGTTTTCTTTCCCTCCTAGGCGAGTTTGAATGTCACTGTCTGTAAGCGACAAGGACTTTTGGGTTTTTTAGCAGTCATAATCCGAAAGATTCCGACAAACCACCTTGGATTGAGAAAGGTGAAGGCTTTGCCGTTCATTTATAAACCTGACCAAGTGGCGCGAAAGGCGAGTGATGTGTCAGTAGCCCATTGGCGATATTAAACACTCGTGAAAAAGTATTGTATTTTTTTACGTGTGTTGTTACGGCTTTTCCCAGGGCTGGAAATCCTTGTATAACACCGTAGTTTATATGATGAAAATATTTTATTTTCGGGGAAATTGACCATCGCAGTCGGTCCATTCTAGAGACTGATGTTTTCGACGTAAAAGCATTAGACAAAGTGAAATCGATTCTGTTACAATCTATGTCTTGAAACATGACTTGTGTAAACCAATATGTTTTGCAGGCCCCTTCTTTTGTTTTAAGTGGCACCTAAGACATCCAATAAACCATGATCGGTAATGGGATCAATCTTTTTATGGCACAATAGCACCAGAAAAGATAGGAGGCAACTTGATTGACTCCAGTTATTTCTCCACTGGCTGTGGTACCTTCAAGCTATGTAAATGTCTGGAAAGAAATTTTGTTTTATTAACATCAAAAGATTAATGTGCTGATTTTCAAATTCAGAGCTGTGTTTGTGCATGTCATGTCAATCAAAGTTAAAGTTACCCTTACAAATTTTTACGGGATGCCACCATACAAATGTTCGTATTTAAGGCTCTGCAACTGTTTAAATTAGTGCGTAGCACCATGTACCTTGTATATGGGTAATCTGGGTTATTCCTGAGGCTTTGAACACCAATTTCTCTAATGTCTTAGTGCTGATTGGGTCCATCGTCGTTTTATACTCACAAAGTTGGCGAGAAAACATCTGTATCCATAGATCTGTTACATACCATAATTTCAACTCTGTCTCATAATTAAAACTGTTGCGCAGACTAGATGTTTTTAATAAACAAAAAAGATACAAAATGAAGTCGGCTATTTACTCAAAAAGTATTTCATGTGCCAGAGATTAACTGCTGCCAAGATGCTTGTCATTGAGCGTGTTTAATTTTTGATAACATTGCTAGAGGTTACTGAAGCAATAAGAAAATTTCCCACAGGCACACATAGTAAACAAGTCAAATGTTATGACTACTCACAGACTCAGAGCTAAATGAAAAGTACAAGGGTTCGGTCATTTTCTTAAACGCCAAATCCCAACAAATGGAAAAAATCCTCCTCCCGTGCGTATCTTAAATCGATCGGCTGAACTTTTAACATGCGAAGCAACTCACTCGAAACTGCTTACTTCTCGCTCTTTCCAAGATGCTTGCCAGCAACTGAACACTTTTCTTCACTAACCACATTTTCCAGTGCGAGAATTAACCTTGGACGGCAATTGTGTGATGTCTGTGAGCAATTATTTTTTGTCCACAACAAGTCAAAAGATGATGCCACGTCCGTTTCCCCAATCTCTTCTCTAATTCACTTTAGCGTTCTGGTCTTTACAAGTCTTAACAAAGGTGCGCTCGCGATCGACGATATACCAAGCAAAGAAAAAGAGAGACAAGACGACATAGTCTGGTTCGTACAAATTTACAACTCTACGCTATATAAGGATCTAAATATTTCTGTCCGATTATGGGTTTTTTAATTTTGTCAAAGTATTGCACAAAATCAACGTCACCATTCACTAGCACAACTAAGCTGTAGAAAACAGTCAAGAGATGACAATAATACTTGAGTAACTCCTTGAAGTTGACAACAATCCATTTTGACCGTTATAACTCTTCGTTAAATTAATTTAAAATTTTGATTAAAAAAGGATTTTATGGATTTATTACACTGCTGCCATCGACTCGAAATTGCCAGCCTCACCAAAACAAGTCGGACAAGTCGCTAAGAATTTTTATCGAACAGTAACATAATTCTTCCACGAGCCATGAACGCGATATTGGGCTTTGTTTCGATTTAAAAGGCTCCTTTTGGACACTCTGGAAGACGTCAAAGCCCTGAAAAACATTATCTCCACTCCTTCGCTGCAAATTTCAAACAAAAAGTGGTTCATTCACCGACTAAGAACTGTTACGGGAGAATTTGGTGAATTCTTTTGTGCGTGTGTTTGTTTGGAGCATATTTATTCGTTTTTCAATATTTTAGGCGTTTTAAATACTTGTGAGCTCATTCACTGCAAGGCTTTTAAAAAAGATGAAAGCAGACTGTAAGCTCTTTCAACTACCAACTAGTACTTTATCTAACGATTTTCTTAAATTTTTCCTTAGTTATTCCATATTAATGTCTGTTTCGAAAATTACAATAAAAGATAGGTCACCGGGCTTGCTTAACAGATATGATAGGCCAAACTTACTCCACTTATACCTGCTCTGGCACTAAACACGCGCATCCTTTTATCGATTCGCGGTACATCGTGAGTTAGCTGGAAGCAAGGGCTTTTAAAGGAAGACTTAAAATAACTTGGTAGGTAAAAGTGTCGAACGTATGGAACGCAGTTTTAAACACCATCGACTCGAAACGTTCCGCGAGTTGTTATCCCCGAGGTCATAACTTGCATTATTAAGTAACAGGCTGCGTGCACGCTTTTAGCTATATCTTTTTTTTTTTTCGATAAATTTTTTTCTTAATCTCTCTTATTTTAAATGGATAATTTGCACACCAAAATTATGCAATGAAAAACATAGGTCACCGTGCTCGTTCGAAAGCCAGGAATTCGGAATGCTCGCGCGCTCATTTGCCTGGTTACGTGATTTTTGTGCGCATTACAGGATACGCAGTACATTACGTAGGAATCAGCCTATCAGGGTCTCTAGCATCATTGTACTATGGCCATGGTGACAGATGAGGTCACATGAACTACCATTAAAATTTGCCTAACATCAACTTGACACAAATTTTCTGATGATGAAAAGGGATATTTTTGTAAGCTTTAGTTGTAAGCTACTTGGTTTTTATCCTTAAAATGAGAATATCGGCCCTTGGCATGTACCTTCAAGACGCTTCGTTGATGAGATATATGTATATCGTTGCCTTCATTCGAAGACAAAGAAAATAATTACAGATACAGCGGTGGTTTATACATACACGTTGTACGATGGTTTAAAACAAACCATGGAATAGGAGATTTATTATTTCACTATCATCTCATTTTCTGCTCATTTGCCTGTTAGTTTTAGAATCTACATACGATCTTATCTGAGCATCGTACTGATCGCATAAGGCATGCACGAAAGAAGAAAACTAAACGAAAGAAACCATGTGATTGTTGAAAGATTCTTTTGAGCTCCTAAGTTCGTTGCTAAAAAAGTAATGTTCAAAAATGGGAAAGAGATCAAAGATCAAAGGATCTGTCCATATTTTAGCATTGTGTATAGTGTAATATCGTCGCATATTTTGCGCGTTCCATTGGCCCAATATGGTTAAATGAAATAATAGTGGGATAAAAATGGTGTGTATTGGTAGCTGAAAGGAGTCATTCGATAAATCTTTTTGACTACGGACTCATCTTTCTATTGTCTTGAATCCTCCCTACCATAAATGGGAAACCCACTCTAACTGCAATTTGAAAAATCAATATCGTGTTATAAATAAAAGAAAAAGACTAGGTTTTGGTTATTCACCGTAGTGACTATATTAACGTTAAGTGTTGCTGTTTACGTTTTTACTTCCTAAAGAGATCGAGAGGTTAACTTTCGACTTCAAAGATAACCTCTGCATGGATGGATGTTATCTGACGTTTTTACTGCAATTTGGCTTTCTCATAGTTTATCCAGCCGTTACCTGTTCAGCTAAAGTCTTGTTGGAACCATAAAGAATTAATCAGCCCCGCCCTCAAGTTGATTTTATCGGGGTATCCAATCAGAGTGAAGAGTTCTAAAGCTGAGCTATGCAATTCTTAGACAAATCTGACAAGTCTTTGTGCATCTTTGAGGGGTTTTCGTCATAATTTTTGTACCGTATCATTGGACCTCTCATCATCATCACCTTACACGGCTCTCCTAAATTGGAAACTTTGCAAAACAATAGAGATTGACATTTCGAGTACTTTTGCCTCTAGCGGCAAATCCAGTTATGACTGAGAAAAAAAATTTTTTTTCAATTTTAAGATAGTTGATTAGTGATCAGCTAACAGAATCTATAACAACCTTAAACTATAATTTTAAATAGATCTTCTCTATTTTTCTAATTATTTTTATTATTAATATTATTATCATCAATATTATTAATATTAGCATTGTCATTATTGTTCTAGGTACTACGATTTTCGTTTCAATGTCTAGGGTTTTGGGGTAAAAGTAACCACCCCCTAAAAAACCGTAGCTTCTGATACTATACGGTTTCACTTAAATCACTTGTTAGAAAATCCTGAGGATCAGAATGGAATGAATCCCGTAAAATAGTTAAGATTAATTCCTATCATTTTTTGTCAGATCGCTTTATCATTGTCTTTCATTGATTTCCTACCGGGCAACCTGTTCACTGGTAAACGCTTCTAGAAAGAAGAACAATGTCCAAAAGAAAATGCAAGTAATAAGTCATCGCTTGGATGTTCTAAAAGGACAACACCCAGAGCATTTGATTGATCTTCACAAACATATGGATGATACCGTCCATAGGGTAGTGGAGGCGCTCATTGAGCATCTCAAGTCGGATGGTGTCCGAGACAGATTTAGTAACTGGACCCAAGATGAAGTTCCTAAAACATATGATGAAATGAGTAATGGCAAGATGAATCAGATATTTCAGAAGAAGCTGAAAGAGATTATAGATGAATGGGAAAAAGACCAGTTCAAGAATGAAAAAGAATCCTTGGTGCAACAAATTCGGCATTGTTTTCATTTTCTCGAGGTTCAACCCCGCAGTGTGAGAAGCGACGTCACAGGTGGTCTTATCACTGTTCCTGGCGTCGATCTTCCACCAGGAGGAGTCAGTTTCAGCTTTGAACGTGGATTCTTACCAACTGATTCTCAGGCATCATGGGAAGAAATTGAAAGAAGTTATCAGTGGTGGAGTTCTGACCAACGCGTTACCATGAAGAAGCTGTCTATAAAATACCTTAGCGAAGCCGCTAAAGAGAATGTCCTCAAACCTTTCGTGAAAAGCAGTCTAAAAGAGGCCGAGCAGTATCTGAGCGATATTGAAACCCAAATTCCTAAGCAGATCAAAGCTGACAAGATGATGGTTGAAGAACTTTCTGACGAAAAGCGCTCAGAAGAAGTGATTCAAAGAACCTACCAACCAATTCTCGACGACACATTAAATATCAGAGAGAGGGTAGCATTTTTTGGGCTAAGAGAAGCTGGTGCAGCAAATATCTGCAGTGAATGGCTGGACTGGAATCAAGGGTCACGTTACCTCGGCAAGGGAGAGTTTGCCACTGTGTACCGGGGAAAAATGACAAGGCATGGAGAAGAACAAGATGTTGCACTAAAGGTCTTCCAAGAAGTCCGCCTCGCCAAAACTGCAAGCCGCGTCATTCAGGAGGCAAATCAGTTGAGGTAAATTGTTCTACATATGAGTCTCAAAACAAACGGCGAAAATATTTTCTTTGCCGTGCGTTGTCATTGTTTCATTGAAAGAGCCTGTTCTATCAGAGCACAAAACACGGATCTGAACTTAAGTTGTCACGCCATATGCGAATTTATACAATGTCCGATCATCTCACGGACTTCTCTCAAACATTTTTTCGTTCACTAATAGCGAAATTTCGGAACAAGCGAGCCGATAAATAGCAATAAAAGAACTCAACAAGGGTTTGTAAACGTGCCTTGCGCCGTAAATGACACTATTATAACACAGGTAGAGAGGAAAATCACTAAAGAGGAATCGAAATGAACTGTTCGAGTTATGATGGTTTTCACGCTTATTCAGATTGTAAGCTTACGTGCGGTAATAAAGTTATTAAGTTTCGTGTTCACAAACAAAACAGCACAAAACATGAAAAATATGACCAAATTGACGTTAGTGTTAAAATGTGTACAAACAATGATGTCATGCTGTGTTCCTTCGCGGCTAGCTTTTCAGCTTTTCATAACGATGTCCGGTCATCGCAGTGAAGCAAGCCTCAGAAATTACACCGTCCGCCCGTCGAGTGAACTATTAGGGAACTTGTTCTGATATTCTTTTGATGCGTTGAATGGAAGGCCACATCAGTCACAGGAGCCGAGTTTTACGGCACTGTTACAGTACCCTGAGCAATATTTTACATTTATTTCATTCATTCATAAGACACACGCCTTGAGCAGTTTATTTTCTGATTGTCATGTGAAAAACTTGCGTGTGTTTATAGGCCATGCAAAATTCGATCGAATTTTTACCTAACATTTCGTTTTTATTTCTTTATCAAAACTGAAAAAAAACTACTTGCAAAAAGTGGTAAATTCGACCCGCCAAACTAGTTACGTTTGGGAACTATCTGCATATTGTGAACTTTGATGGTTTGTGAAATTTGAAAGTTTGTGAAGTTTCATGGTTTGACAATTTTGACAAATGCGGTATCCTTCAACCGATTCTATTCCTGAGGAACCTTTTTAAGAAGGATTCTGATTGACTTATGTTGGCGTGTTTTATGAGAGTAAAAAACTGCTGAGAACCATTTTGTTTGCGTCGAAAATCAAAATTTGTTTCGTTAAGAAAAAGTAATGCGAGGGGAATTTGACGGATTCTTTGGTATGATAAAAGCAAATAAAGAAGCCTTGATTGTGCTCTGTTTTTTGGTAAAGCACTTAGGAAGGGGTTAAAGCACTCAGGAAGTAAGGAGAAACATTCGAATACGTCTTGTTTCCCGTTACACTTCTTTCGCACTCTAGCCGCTTCCCGTGTGCTTTACAACAAACTGAGCACAACCAAGGCTTCTTTTTTTTAAATGATGTCTATAGTTTATACACACTCGTTTTCAAAAACGTTACAACTGAGAGATTTATATCAAATATATATCCCCATTCTTTTCTCATCTGAAATATGATGCATGTATATTTCACATCAAAGGAACAATACATTTTTGTTATTTTGAAGCAGATATTGTAGTTTTTGAAGAATTGTCCCGATGGTTTATTTTTTCAACCCCTTTGTTATGGAAAGGTGTATATATATCATCTATAATATCAAATTGCAATGCTTATAGCTGTATATTATAGATATACACACCCTTTTTCATAAACATTGCAATTTGAAAATATATTTTAAATATATATACCTTTTCTTTTCTCATCAAAGAAGTGTCGACGGGGCAGATTTAAAGGGGCAATTTTTTCTGAAGGAGAGAACAGCAGCTGCCTTCCAGTCTTTTTTCTTTTCACCTTCGCACGATTTTTTCTCTTCAAGTGTCTATTCGTTTAGATGTATTATGTATATCAAGCTATCAAAATGATTGAGACAATTGTTAACCCAGAAAAAAAGAATTAAAAGAGTAAGAAACAAGATTTCCAGCCAAATAAGCGAGTGGGATTGCATAGATTACGAACCAATGATCTTTAATCATTTTCATCATTTCTTGTTCGAAATAACCTAATGGTGAACAACGTAGTGGACAACGCAGTAACTTGGAAACCTCACAAAGGTTTTATAGCATATTTCAATAAGAATAATAAGAAAACATCAATTTAAGAAAAGCGGCACGCAGTACTAAGTTATTCTTGATGTGCGCACCGATCAGTTTTATTCTAAGTCGTGCCGTTGTATATCAGAAATGGACAAATTGTACTATTGTTCTAGCCATTTCTCAGTGAGGTGCCAGTATTCATATCGGCGGACCTACTTTTTCACAGTTATGTTTGACTTTTACGGCTACAATTAAGCAATCATATGACACTAAGCGCTGGATATAACTAATTAATTATATATTGAATATACATATATAAATATATATATGTATTTTTTTGTTTTGAAATTCTCAGGACTTGCTTGAGATTTCAGTTTCTCACGGCTTCTTACGCATAAAGTACCAGCGTAAACAAGAAAGCATACTCCGCTGCTATTATTCACATTCCACGAAATATGTTCGTTTTCCGATTGCACGCTGCCTCGACGAAATCACGAAGTACTACCTTGTTGATTAGCTTTGTTCTTGTTTTGTGACCTTGCCGGCTTGGACATCGTTTATTATTTCAAAGTTAAAAAGATTTTTAATTTAACCACGAGATTATAGTTTTGAATTTACGAGCTACAGATTTTCTTTCGAAACGGCTCAACAGACTCGGGAAATAGCAGTTCGGGTGAGGAATGACCTCCAAAACAAACGTATGGTTATCAAATTCAGTATTGAACAAAATATCGTTCTTTTGATGTGAGATATACGTGCATCGTTCATCACCTTTTTGATGAGAAAACAAAATATATTTATTTCATATATATTTTCAAATTGCAACAATTTTGAAAACGGGTGTATACATTTATATATTATCTTATGGTCATATTTTCTATTAATGATGCTTAACTTGATATTTTCGCTTGCTTGCCATAACTCTTTTCATCAGTAAACTCAACCACCCCCATTTTGTCAAGTTTTATGGCACTGCAGTTGTCAATGAAAACGACGATGTAAAGGCAATTTTAGTAATGGAGCTGTGCAAAGGAAACCTGCAAAACTACTTCGAATCTAACCAAACATTGGTCCCAGGACGATCTGCTAATCGAAAACACGTACCTCAAGCTTTCAAGTGGGTGATAGAAATATGTTCTGCTCTTGACTACATACACAATGAGAGAGTAGTCCATAGGGATCTTACGCTAGAGAAGATCTTGGTAAGGAATAAAGAAAAATACAAACAAACAAATACTTTGTCTTACCAATCTCCATTTAAGAAATTGCGTACTACTGAAACAAAACGTTACTCTATGGCATGGGTGGAGGTGCTGGAGGAATCCATCAGACCCCTCCACAGTTACATATTTCTGGAAGCCATTTATTCACACGTGTACGCTGTAAAACTAGATGTGGCAAAAAAACAAAAGAACAAGGGTCACTAGCTTTCGAGGATTTTAATTAAAATGTGGAAGGTGTAGTCTAGTGTTTTTTGAAGGAAAAATACTGCTAAAAAAGCAATGAAGATAGGGCTACACCAGCCTGAGAATTAGTGGACTCGTTATTCTTGCCGAGCTTAGAGTGTTCTATAACACTGTTTTTAAAATCCAACATAACTTTCCGTCGGAAATGTTTCCCAAATGAATTTCTTTCTTTTTATCAGGAAATGAAATACAATGATTAAAATGGGAAGAGTCTGGGAAAAAATGAGCTCAATATCCTTGTCCCAAGTACAAGTATCTTGAATGTCATTACTAGAGTATTATTATTTTTTCCTTTCTTTGCTTGCTATCGAAGTTATCAGAGGACAACAGAGTGAAACTATGTGATGTCAGCGTTTGTAAAGAAGCAGATTCCATCACTGGGAAGTTCAAGGGAACTCCTCGATACATGGCACCTGAAGTCTTCCGTTCCGAGTTGAATGATTCCAAGGCAGACATCTACAGCTTTGGAATAATGCTATGGGAAATTTGGTTTGGACGACGAGCATTTGCTGATATTGATTTTGATTCATCAGACCCCCAAGACTTCTTCAACTTGGTTGGTGAAGGGTCACGTCCAAAAGATGTCGAAGACTTGAAGAAGCCTCCACGCCTCTGGAAAGAGCTCATGGAAGAGTGCTGGGATGGAGACCCAAAAAAACGTCCGACAGCTAAGAAATGTGAGCAAAGAGTAATCAAACTTTCTAATGAATGGAGTGGTTAATTAGGAGAGCCATTCCTCAAATAGTTTGTGAATGCCACTGCCTATCATTTCTTGCTCGTGTTTAAATAAAAAGATCGCTTTTTTTTCATTTTTCTAACGTCATTCCAGGGCCAATCAATTATGCCTTGATAGATGGGTAGTCGTTGAATTTTGTTTTTACCGCCTTATGCGAGAAATTTCTGCTCTTTCTTTTATGAATGCCTATATACCCAAGCTTTATTTCAGTCTTATAAATCACCTTTGAAGCATAGGTAAACATTAGATGAAGAATGACTTTGCACGAGAGGCAGAAGCGGGAGTAGCTAAGATGCTGAAATGATCAATTCATTGATCAGTTTGGGCATGCAAGGTGTTGATATGGAAAGAAGAGTAACAAGTAAATGCAATTGAGTCGGCGGGTACTTTTTGTCTAGGTAGCTTTATTGTATCGACTCAAGTGCAGCGCTTGATATTTGAAAAAAAAGATTAGAAGGTTAACTTTATCTTAAAGTAACTTTGGAAGATTTTTGAGTACACCATACAGTAAACAGTCATAGTTACGGTAGTGATTAAAGGTCTTTAGTGGAGTTTGATTTTATCACGACTCGTCTTTTCAAGTGTACCATTTGTTTATATCAGGATGTACGTTTTTAGGAGGATGACTCAGTTAATGATACCTCCAAAAATGGTGGGTCCCGCAGATATTTTTATCTGATCTGGTTAGCCTCGGTGGTCGCATTTTAAGTATTTAAACTGAAGTATAGAAGTCTAGTATTTTTTCTCTTGGCCAAGGGTTCAGAGCTAGAGTGGCTTAGTTATCGATGTGTGCGGCTCAAGTCTGTTTATGAACTCTGTCCTTGGATTAAATGTTTTGCGATCTAGAAGCTTACATTTAGCAGAAAACGAACGCAGAAGAGAGTAACGACACAATTACGCAATATTTTCCTGTCTTAAATGGTACCTTGAAATTTAACGGGTGAAGCAATAGGTACGTAATAAGAAAATGTGCAAAGTTTTTTGTCTAGTCTCTGTCTCGGGCGTAACGCGAGTCTCAGATGTAACTCTGACTCGCCAGATCAAAGTGTCACGCCTCTTTCCTACTCACCTTTTCAAGAGCTAAAGCGTTTTGCACTGGAGATCCTTCTCATCTTAAGGAAATGAGATTTGAAAGAGCAGTTTTCTTCCACTGCAAGAATGCTTTTATTTACCGCAAGAATCAGATAACAGCAAGGGCACGCCCACGTCGTGTCTTACTGCAATGCAACGACAGAGATGAATTTATTTGCCCCGGAAAAAAATGTTTACTCTTCTCATGATCTAATTTTCTAATCTAATTGGATCGACGGCTCTACTGAATTCAAATGCGACAAGAGGCGCTCCGCTTCATTTCCGGATACCGCAGAAATAACATCATCGACATATCGTTTCCAGAAAAAGGGTTTAACCGGTGAAGTGGCTAAGGCCCTCTGTTCCACGTCTTCCCTTACTATGTTAGAAATGACAGCAGAAACGGGCGAACCCATCGCTGTACCAAAAACTTGTTGATAGTAGGTGCCGTTATATGTAAATTGCGTGATTTGAGGCAAAAAGACAGCAGATGAATAATATCCTCTACAGGCAAAGAAGTTCTATGTCCCACGGAAGCGTCTTCTCTGAGTCTTTCCTCCGCAACCTTAACGGCAAGATCAACTGGGATTTTGGTGAAGAGCGAAACAACGTCGAAAGATACTAATTCATCACAAGCGTTAAGAGTTTTATCTCTTATGAAATCCGCAAATTCGCAGAAATTTTTGACAATGTAATCAGTGTTCCCAACAAAAGGCGACAAAATTCTCGCAAGATAACCAGAAATTGCATAAGTCGGAGAATTAACAAAAGAGACAATGGGTCTCAAAGGAATTCCCGGTTTATGAATTTTTAGGTCTTCAGTTACATTCACTAAATTACCAGTTGTAAAAAGTCGTTTAGCTTAAGGGGTTTTAATTCATACCTTACATTGAGAGGGTTTAAATCAATACTTTGACTTCACGAGTTTTAAATTTAGTGCTTTTTATTCGGGGGTCTTACATGACAGGTCTGTGCCCAAATGTTGATATTGATCGTTGTTCCTTACATTCAGGGGTTCAAATCAACGTGTATTACATGACAGGTCTGTGCCCAGATGTTCATATTGATCATAAAATCTAACGATCAGGGGTCCATATTGATCGTAAATTTTTACATCCAGTGCGTATCCTGTGCTCAGATGTTGAGATTGACCTTACAATGTCACATCAATGACAAAACCGTGTCCAAATGTTTATACCGATCGTAAAATCTAATATCTAGGGGTCTGAGCGCAGATGTTGATATCGATCGTGAATGCTTTCGTGACATCCAGGGGTCTTAGATTCGTATCTTTCAACTGGGAGTTTTTTAATTGTACCTCTGAATAGTAGCTATGTAACAATGACGACTTATATAAGGGTTTTGTTATTAAAATTGTACGGTAGTTTTATAAGATGGGCTGCCCCCAGCCACTTGGTACGGTACGTGGTACGGAAAGTGGGAGGCATTCAAAACGGTAAGTGATCGAATAACGTGATAATTTCCGTCGAACCAGCGTCAAATCCGGGTAAATTCAGTAGTATTTTATATGCCATTTGAAAATCAGATGACAAAAGCCTGAACGCCAACTGGCATGACAAACCTTCCGAACATTACTCCGTCTAACGACAACCAGTCATCAACGTGTTTCCTTGAAGAAAAAGCTTAAGAGTAGTTTTATAATACTGAAAGTACTACACACTGCAACTAGCAGGATGTTTATCTTCACGATTTTATATTCCGTTACTACAGACGACGCTGAAGACTTACATTCGAATGAGAGTGGTTGAAATTACGGCATAAATGAAATCTTTGCTTAAAAAGTTACACATCCTGAGAAGTATAATCACGTTCGAAAGGCGAAAACAATCGGCGGAGAAAATCGGATGACAGCCCGAACGCCGACTGGCATGACAAACCACTCTGTTTAACGACAACCAGTCATCAACGTGTTTCGTTAAAGAAAGAGCTTAAGACTAATTTTAGTACTACACAATGCAACTGGCAGGATGTTTCTCTTTATTCTTTTATATTTCGCAACTACGGACGACGCTGAAGACTTATATTCGAATAACGGTGGGTAACATCACGACAGAAAGCTAAATTACACATCCCTAGAAGTATAATTTCTTACGGAAAGCGAATACAATCGGCGGAGGGGTCTAATACGATTGGCAAGATAAAACAGCTCGTGGAAGATTTCGTGAGAGACAACTGTGCCATTGTGTACATTACCCTCCAGGCTCCAGGGTAAACAATGCAGTTGATCCCTAACCGACGCGCGAATATTACACTCGAAGCATGCCTACTAAGCTGCAAACCACATACAATTCGAAAATTTGATTGCATTCTTCTCATAAATTTAGTGAGCAATCAAGATCACTTGATGCACTCCTATATTCAAGTGAGTGATATGAATTGTTCAATCTCTATATACGACGAATTATATCAATCGGGTCACATGTTGTCTTTTTTCGAGCTTTATATTATGCAGACAACGAAATCATTCAAAAGGTCAAGCTAAGCTGAAGCCATGAATATCATATAAACAAATCGAACAGCGGAACTGTAAATGTAAATGTTAACTTATAAATATTACTCTCAAATCGAAAAGTGACGCTAAGTATTTAGCTTGCTGCATTGAGCTTTAAACTTGTGATTGCAGAAACCCTTTATCTTTTGTTTTGTTCTGTTTTGTTTGAAAGGTGAAAGCATTCTGTAAGATTCTTTATGGGCGGCCGTCACCACCAAAGATACAAGGATGTCAAATAGATCAACAAATACAAAGCTAGTCTAGGGATCAGCTGCAGGATAGCATAGCTAATAAAGGAATGGCATGGCCAAATTACAGACGGTTTAGTTTTCTTTCATGAAACAGAACATCTAAAACACGAATCAATTTTAGCCAAATGATAAACGGTTTAGTTGCCTATGTCGAGTTGGAACATGAAATTGTGAAATGGACTCGCTCAATTGCGAATAGCTTAGCACTCATTTGCAATACAGAACACAAACGGTGTAGAGTTGGACTCCATAGTAAGAAAGCTGACATCCTTGATCTGTTTTGACACTTTTCAATCGAAGTGTTATCGAAATGCATTAATTGGTGTGCCAAAAATAGTGTTTGTAATTAAAGCATTCCGATATCACTTTGATTGAAAAATGTCAAAACACATCAAGGATGTCAGTTTTATTACCATGGCGTCCAACTCTGCACACAAAGGAACACACAAAATCCAACTTCTCGCTTACTCTTGTAATGTTGAAAGAGCCGTTGAAGTTGAACTCTCATTGAAAAGTAAGCGCGAGTCAGAAATGAGAAGAGAGCTCGACAGGCGACATTTAATACAAGTCATAATGCTACTTAATACTATAAACATTCAGGCTAACCGACGCGTGTACGCTGTGGTAAACCGAGAGGCCGGTAAACCGTGGTAGAATTCAGTTTTGTTGCTATTCAATGAACGCTCTCATGAACGACAACGAATAAATGTAATATCAGCAGGGAAAAAAGAGGACAAACTTACGGAAAGTTACGAATTGTCTCTGCTTTACGGCAAGGCGAAGTGAAGACTCTTCAAGAGGGCGACTACACCATGTGGTGGTTTCGCGCCAATCTTTTACATTCGATGACGTCATGCCCCCCACCCCCCCCAATCCCCAGTAGATCGCTGTTCCATTTGCAGTTTGTATTTTTGGTAGCTTCGGCGAGATAGCCTTCACGTCACGCCACGAGAAAGCTCGACGATTTGCCATAACATCGAAATATCTCATGTAATGCTAAGCAATTTAATGTTGAGCTAAAGCGTCTGATGTTCTGCAAAGCTATTCGACGTAACGCTACACGGTTTGTGTGTACGCTGTACCATTCGACATTACGCTGAGCCATTCCACGCAACGCTACACTTGTATGTGCGCTGTACCATTCTACATTACGCTGAGCCACTTCACGTAACGCTACACCGTTTGTGCGCACGCTGTGCTATTTGACATTACCCTGAGCCATTTCAAGCAACGTTACACAGTTTGGTATGTGCGCTGTGCTATTCGACATTGCGCTAAGCCATTTGACGCAACGCTACACCGTATGTGTGTAAACTGTACCATTCGACATTACGCTGAGTCATTTGACGCAACGCTACACCGTTTGTGTACTGTATTGCAAATGAGTGCTAAGCTATTCGCAATTGAGCTAGTCCATTTCACAATTTCATGTTCCAACTCGACATAGGCAACTAAACCGTTTATCATTTGCCTAAACTGTTTGTGGTTAGGATGTTCTGTTTCATGAAGGAAAACTAAACCGTCTATAATTT